GGCGAAGGTGCGGTCTTTGTGGACCGAGCTTGAACAGAACGCTACTAGAGTCGCCGATTTAAGTGATGAACGGAAGGAGAAGGTGCTCGAGCTAGAAAAGAAGGTGATTGAATTGGAGGTCGCCGAGAGGGCTCGTGTCTCAGCTTTAGCGAGGGCGGTGGCGCTAGAAAACACTATCCACGTTCTCAGGTCTGAGAAAGAATCTGAGAGGGTGACGACCACGCTGAGGGAGGCGCGGCTCGAGGAGCGGATTGGTGAACTTGATCGGGAGGCTTCGAACCTGGGAGACCGAGTTGTGGCCCTTGAGGCCGAGAAAACACATCTATCGGCTCAGGATATCCCTCAAGAATCTGCCTTTACTAATATCCCCCGCCGTTTTTATGAGCTATAGGTCCATGCTGAGGCCCAACGAGATATATACAAGGGTTTTTGGGTGGCGGGGAGCGTTCCTGAGACCGCTTTTGAAGATGCTCGAGCGAAGGCACGCGAGGCTGGTATTGCCTGCGGTTACGACCCTGCGACACCGGAGGCCGGCGAGGGTGCTGAGTTTGAAGATGGGCTTCATTTTGACGACGGTGGTGCTGGAGAGAACGGCGATGGAGATGATGTCGAGTGAAAAAATTCTTTGCAGCTTTCGTACTTAGTTTTTTTTGTTGTTTGTTTTCATCTTTTTCTTTGGGGCTCGCTTTTGGCCTTTTGTAAGGGCGGAACTGTTGTGTATGTATATCTGAATAAAATAGTCGCTTCGCCTTCGGTTACGTATCTTTTGGCTTTCCCTCTCCTTTCTCTTTTTCTTTTTTTTGAAGAAGACATTCGGATTTCCCGTTATGAGTCCCTGATTTTTAATTGGGAATTCGAACGACGTCGAGTTTAGTTTGCTTGATCTGAGCGAGATTGGATCCCGTTTCGTGAGTTCGAATGAAGTCACCTTTGATTTGCAAATTCGAGCGTGGTCGACATCTGATTTGCCAATTTGGGCGAAATCAGTTTTGACTTGTATATTCGAGCGAGGTCGAATTTAATTCGCCGAATTGGGCGGAATCAGTTTTTGCTTGTATATTTGAGCGAGGTCGAATTTAGACTTGCTAATTTGGGCGAAGTCACTTTTGACTTATATGTTCGAGCGAGATCGAACTCAGAGTTGCCAACTTGGGCGAAGTCAATTTCGCATTGTGAGTTCAGCGATGGCAGGGGGAGAACTCGTGTGAGGTCGAACTATGACCCGTTATGAGTTCGATGGGGTCGAACTTTGATTTGTTGATTCGGGTGAGCGAATTTTCACTTCCACTTGACGATGGCCGATGGTCGTAAGGGTGTGAATTCGAGCAAGGTCGAAATTGTAACCCGCTTGGCGATAGCTGATAGCTGTGAGGGTGTTAATTCGAGCGAGGTCGAATTGTAACTCGTTTGGCGATGGCTGATAGCTGTGAGGGTGTTAATTCGAGCGAGGTCAAATTGTAACCCGTTTGGTGATGGCTGATAGCCGTGAGGGTGTTAATTCGAGCGAAGTCAAATTGTAACCCGTTTGGCGATGGCTGATAGCCGTGAGGGTGTTAATTCGAGGAGGTCGAATTGTAACCCCCTTGGCGATGGTCGATGGCCGTGATGGTCTTAATTCGAGCAAGGTCGAATTGTAACCCGTTTGGCGATGGCCAATGGCCGTGAGGGTGTTAATTCGAGTGAGGTCGAATTGTAACCCATTTGGCGATGGTGCGGGTTTGCCTGTTGCATTACTCTTATTGGAGAACATCACTCATCGCTGCATTGTTTATGCATGTGTTGTGGCGAGTCCCGGTTTGCTTACTTTTGTTTTCATTGGAGAACGCTATGCGTCGTTGCAGTGTGTATGTGTTGGTGGAGTCCCAGTTTACCTAGTCCTTTTTTTACTCGGCCTTGGGAGGTCGTTATCGGGATGAGCGACGAACTTATTGCTTGGGCTTCTGGGTACCCTTGGACAAAACGAAGTTTGGACGCGATTCGCAATATTTAGTCGGATGAACTGGCGTAAGATTGTCATGGCGAATATACATGCAAGCTTTTCTACTTCAAGTTCTGCTTGTGTCTGAGGGACTGTACATTCCACGGGCTCACCGCTTAGTCCCAGCTCATGGAGATTTTATTAATAATACCAGCTTGTTTTCAGCCGTTTGCCCGCTATTTGCGATACGGTATTTTGTGGAGGGTTTTGCTTTGTGCGTTTGGTGGCGTTTGTTCCTTGTTCGCGTACCTTGACCTGGTAAGTCGGCGAGGGGGGAAGGGCACTGTTAGGTGACCCGTTTCATCCCGTACTCGAATGGCGATTTCAGATTTGGCAGCCCCATATTTGGCTTTGCTGTTAGTCGCGTCTAGGATTCTTATGGGCTGAACTCACCTTGCCCGTTGGGATCTCGAGCTCGAGTCCCGGTTCGACGCGTATTCATGATGTGCGCAGATAATAAGGGAAACGTGTTAGACCTTGTACATAAATTACACTGTGCATACGGGTACAAAAATAAAGCAGGATAAGTCGGTTATTTTAAAGGATCATACAATAGGCTGTCGTCCCTTCCTACGAGGTGGAAGTATAGATCGGCATATAAGGTTAATACGACAAGTAGGATTGCGGGCTTGCTAAGTGTGTAGTGGCCGTAATTCCATTTTGAGTACTCATACGACGTGCCGAACCCATCGTTACAGGCGAGGCGTGAGTTTTGTATAGACATCAGACATAATTTCGATTTCATGTGAAGATTTAACCCTGATTGGCTTGATTATGATTATTTCAAGATCTTGTCCACCACTTTTTCGAGTTGGTGTTTATACTGAGATGGTGAGGCTATGATAGCCGGGAAGTGATATTTTGGCTGGTTTTAGATCTAGAAGAAATTAAAATTTTGGCTAAAAAATTCCCACAGACGATGCCAAATTGTTTGACCAAAAAGTATTAAGCTTTTTGTTAAACTAATTAATAAGAAAATAGAGGATAAATCCTAGCCAATGATAATTAACTCTAGATCAAAGCGCATTAAACAGGAGAATAAGATATTGTCAAGCTCATGAACTTTTAATACTTAAAGAAGATATCAAATATAAATGACATACTTACATTCATGATGTGCTATTCCGTACTGCAAGAATAAAGGTGAAACAGAGGGAATGCCATTAATAGTTGCGGGATCTATCTGTATTAACTCAAGAAAGATGATTACAAAGATTCGCTGCCTAGATCCGCAACTTCTCTTATTTTTCTCCTGTAGCACTCTCCTGTTCTTCTGCCTCTTGTTTGGCTTCGGAGAGAGACCCCCTTTCTTGTTATCTTCCCCATATGTATATAGTAAGTATTCCCTTTTATCCAACGGTTCTTACCCAGAGTGCCTCAGTCTGTTCATTGTGTGTTGCGTCGTTCCCCTTAAATGTCATGACATATGCCTCGCCCTACAAGCTTTCTGATAGCTCGATCCCAACAGCGGCCGAGATACCCGTTGTCATGATGTCTTATGAATACAACCATGGCTCAGTCGACCCCCGCCATTCCTTTTAGTGCTGATTCGCGCGTGATCAAATTTCGACTCATACAATAGTTGCTTCTATTTGCTCAACAAATAGAAGCAAATGCAAAATTTAGAAATATTCAATAGTTGTGCAGGATGTTCACACGAAATCAATGACTATAAGCTAAGTTCCCGTTTGGACATAAAATTTGATGGAAGATTTTTCCAAAAAAATTTTACTTTTTTTCGAAATTAGCGTCTGTTCATAAAATTTCCAATTTTCACTTGAAGATGCATTTTGAAATTTTCGAAAATTTGAAAAACTGCACAAAGCTGTTTTTCAAAATTTTCACTCAAATCACTCAAAAAACTTCAAAAACAACCCAAACTGAAATTTATGTCCAAGCATAACTCTAAATTTCAAATACCATTTTCACTTAGAAAAAAAAATTCACCATTTTTTCGAATTTTACAATTCTTATGTCGAAACGCCTACTAAGTATCTTGTTTATAGGCATTTATCACGTAACTGTGGTTAAATGATAGTAAGTTTTTTCACTTTTAATTCTCAATTGCGTAGGTTAAATTGCATAGTTTAGGCAAAAACCCGGTGCGGCTATTATTTAGCCGTGAAGTTGTGTTTAGCATTTAGAACAAGTGACCCTAATTTGCCATTTGCCAACTCAATTAAATCTAATTTTCTTGTAGTGTATTACTTCCTGCCGCAATTTCTACATAAAATTTTAATTCGTGCACATGCTTTTCTGAATCCGATATATGCACTACTGGAATGAGTATTTTTTTCTTAATTATAATTGAGAAATATTTTTAATTTATCTCAATTTTGTCACTTGATTAAATATAATATCCATATCTTATATTGTTCTTACAGCAATTACAGCACTACTTTTCGTTTTAAGTACGTAAATTTTTTCTATTAATTTAATTATTCGATATCTAATGTTTACATGGGGACTATTTTTGGTTCGCATAGAATAAGTTTAAGTAACCATTCTCACTTTCTTTAACAGCTTTACCTGCATTCCTGCATTTCTACAAGAGGTTGTTTTCACGGCTCGAATTTAGTGGCAGACCCAAGATCATTATTTTAAACATTATTGGCATTGAATTTAGCTCATTAGCAGCTGACTACTGTACCTCTCCATTTTCATATTCAAATCTTCCATCCGATAATTAAACTCTTCTTAATGACATCATGTCAACTTCATATTACTATATTACCCAAAATGCAGATTTTCCTAGTGCGATCCCAGACACACACACACACACACAGAGACCCCACCCCCACCCCTTACACCTCACCCCCCATCAGAAAACGTGTCTTTCAGTTTCTTTTCCATTGCAGATGTCCCATTTCTGGTTCATCTTCCCCATCTTGTTCAATTCCTACTTAGTTGATATCTTAACTAAAAAAAATACGAGAAAATTGAGTTGTTTATATGGGAAAAAGCAGAGGAATTGTGACAGTATTTCATTGAAAGAAAAAAGAGCTTAATGGAAGCATTGAAATGAAAGTACTAAGAAATTGCTAAGTTGTAATTGAGATCTTCAATGAATTTAAGTATAACTACAATTAACTTAAACTCATAGTTATGAGGAGAAAAAAAAATTGAAAACTCTGTAATTCCAACCCCTCCCTTTTAATGTCTTCACAATTCTAGGAAAAAAAACCCTCAACTTTCTCAATTAACTTTGGCATTCTTCCTAGTCTTCAGTTTACAAACAAATCGCCAAAACCCCAAATAAAAAAAAAACAGAGGAGTAATTTGAACCCCAAAAGAAATTATAATTATACTTAACCCAAAAAAAGAGAAAAAAAAAAGGAAAGAAAGTCAAACCAAATTGAGTTGAAATTAGAAGGTCCATTTCAAGATCTTGACTCTGAGATCAACCTTACACTTAGCATTATTTGTTGAAGCCACAGCTGGAGCTTTCCCTTTAGGAGTTGGTCCATGAATTCCTTCACACGTTACTCTGATCCCTACCCTTTTGCTTTTCAATTTATCCATTTTCACCACTACCATTGTATCCATCAATAATGTCACAGGCAACCCAGCTTTTCTCTTCAGATCTGATTTCAAAGACGAGACAGAATCAGCATCAAGAACTTGAGACACCATTGACAGAGTAGAGTGTATAATAGTGATATTATTTGGACTGCTAGTGAACCCCGGAAACGACCCATTTGCTAAAACAACTTGATTTGATAGCGCAGTTATAGAGATGGGGTTATAGTTGTATATCAGTTTCTTGTTTGGGTTTTTCGTTGAGAGTGTGAGGTTGAGTTTTGCAGTAAGGTGGGTGGTGTCGTCGGCGGTAGTAGTGAGGTTGAACTGTGAGATTTTGAGTGAGGAGATTGAAAATGCAGGGCGTTGAGGATGGTAAAGGACGTAGAAAATAGCACCGGCAATGGCTGCAAGGAGAAGGATAATGAGAATGCTGAGAATGAACCAGAAACAGCACATGCAGAAACAACGTCGGCAGCTGCAACGGCGGTGGTTGTGTCGGTGGTAGGCGGTTGGTGTCGGTCGGTAAGGAATGCGATTTGGGTTGTACATCTGGTTCTTGACGGTGACGGCAGCTGGATTTGCGGCGGTGGCGGTGGGTGCGGGGGTGGTTGTAGTGCCATTAGGCTTGGCTGATGGGTAGACTCTGTCAGTCATTTTTTTTTGTGGGGAGAAAATGAATTGAGGTTAGATTTGGTATGAGAAAGGGAAATAAGATAAATATAGTAAAGTTGGAGTAGATGCAAAGAACAAATAACTATAGAAGAACTAAAGAAGAAGTAGAACAAGATAATGCATATGAAAGAGGTTAGAAAAACTCTACTTGTTTGGGGAAGAAAATGAAAAATTGTGAAGTAAAGGCAAAGCAAAGTGTCAAAGTTTTTGTGTTGTGTGGGTTTTTCTTTCTTGATTTGGTTCAAAGTCCTATTGAGGGGTAGACTATAACCACAAGGGGAGAAATGGGAATCTCTTGGCTGGCTTGGGGCTTGGATTGTTTGTTGGGCAAATATTTAATCGCGCCAGAAAATATTTACAATCAGTAAGAAAAAATTATAAAATTTATATAATTTTTTATATATATATATATATATATATATATATATATATATATATTTTGTTATTATTTTGAGAACGGCTATATATTCTATTTTTCTTTGTTTGTTTTACTTTTTTTTTTTAATATTTTTAGATTTATCTCTCTGCTATACCCACTTGGTTTTGGCTAGGTCTGTTTTTTTTCCCTCCCTTGTCTGTTTCTTTTTATATATGTCAAGTTGTATTCTAATTTGTTTTGAAATGGAAAATATGAGGTATATTCTATGAAACTTCTTAAATGCAACCAAATTTATTGATTTGAGAACACAGTTAATTTTGTCTAAAGGTGGGGGATGTGGGGCTTGGAATTTGTAGTCTTAATCTACCCTTTTGATAACAACATGAAGAAGATAGATGCAATAAATGTGAATTCAATTTAAGTTATATACCCTACTGATGTAGCTTAATATGATATGCATAGTAATTATTATTTTTATTAAATTACTAATTAAAATTTATTTATTAATAGTTATCTTATATATACTTTAATTATCTAATATTTTTTATTATAATACATAAAAATTAAACTCAATTGAGTGATGATAAGATAGAAGAATATATATGACCTTAAACGTCCAAATATGCAAAATACTTGAGATTTTATTGATTTTGACCTTATTTGACCCCAAGAGTATATTTGCATAATTTACGTGTATTTATGCATATACCATGTATGACATTTATTTGTTCTTTTCCTCATACTGTTTTATACCTTTCTTTCCTTCATTTATTTATTTCTGATTATGATGTGGTGCAGCATACCTTTCATGAAATCTAGGTGTGGGGATTCAGACGTCATAGTAATAGAAAAACAAACAATGGGTGAGTCCACCTTATTTGACTGTTTGGCACAAGAAAATAAAATTAAAATAAATATTGAAGTATAAAAGAAGTTAATTTTTTTTAAATATACGCCTTGTACATTGATGATCCAAATCCTACTTTTAGAACTTTATTTATCTTCAGCTGCTTCTATCTTGAGTTAATGTCCCAAACTCCCTAATCATAATAATATTTCCTCAATGTTCACGTATGAATTGTGTGCTTTTTATTACACCCTATATTTATTATGGAAATATATGTTTGATAGCCCTAATTTATGATGCAAACTCCCTTTATATGGAAACAATATCTCACTTCCTCTACCTAAATGTAATAAAAACATTCCACTTGATATGTTACTATCAAATATCTAAACAAGTAAATAATATAATAACACATTTTTGGTTAGCTGAAAGTGAATATCCTTACCATATCCTTTTCTTTAGATCCTAATAAAGACCAGACATTTATTAAGTTAAATTACATGAATAGGAGAAAGCAGTGGAGTAATAAAATTTGGAGATTTATCTCTTGTGTGTTATTTGTACTTTTATCTCGACAAATTTTCATTTTCACAAAATCTATGACAACAATTTAGAATTCGAAAATATGTCTTTATAATCACATTCAATCGACTAATTAAAATTGAAGGGTTGGGTATAACCAATCAGTGAGTGGATACAATTATTTATGACTCGCTCTTGCTTTTAACTATCCAAATATTAAGAAATTGAGGAGCTTACTTTCAAAATGGTATAACACACAACACGTTACAACTACTCTTAAAATGTTTAATTCCCAAATGTAAGATGATCCTCCTATTAGTCATAAATAATGTTTTAAAAGGCGGGGTATGAGGTGAGGGGTTTTACCTCTGACGAGGCGAGGCGTAAGCCCTGGGACAAGGTGCGTACAGGGGTGGAATTAGGGGGGCGGAAGGGGGTTCGACCGAACCCCCTTCGCCGAAAAATTATACTGTATATATAAGGCAAAATCTATTTTTTACCTCTATATATTATGTTTTGAATCCCCTTGGCACAACCCAAAAGTGTAGCTTAGTGGTTAAGGGGGTTCAAAACCTTTGTAAGGTCATAGGTTCAATTTAGCTACAAATTTTTTAACTATTTTCTTTTTGAACGCACTTCGCGGAGATCTCGTCTCCGCCACTGGGTGCGTAAGTCCCACGAATCTTTAAATTTTACTAAATTCAAGAATTTTAAGATACTATAAAATAATAAATAATTATAAGAATTACATTAAAATCATAAAATTATAAAAATAATTTATTTAAAAGATTTATAAATAATAATTCAACTATGAATAATACGAAAAGTATGACATATATCATAATATGCAAATTAACTGCAACGTCGACTCAAACATCAAAAGAAATGTATTCGATACAAAATCTTATATGTATCTCTTAAGGAGTAATGAATCTTGAAAGAATTTCGATATTATAATTTGATATTTTTCTTAAAATACTCCTTTTATTTAATATGCTTTCTATTTGAAAAAGAATTTATATAAAAATATAATTCACAATTTAAATATGATTCTCTAGCATCGTTTATTTTTAAATTTCAACAAGTTAATAAAGTGACACATAATTCACCATACAATACCATGATAACTAATTATTTGTAAATAGTTACTAGCTAATACTGAGCTATTAAGTTAATAAGTATTGTATCTCATAAATGTGGAAAAAATAATATTTAGAAAAATAATTATAAAAAAATTCTGGACTATTATATAGTAAAGACTAACAAAAGTTAATAAATAAATACTTTTTAAATGAAAGATTTATTTAAAATTAACTATCATAGCAGTCTTAGTGGATAATGTGTAATAATTTTTATTCTAATTATGACATAAAATACTCTCAACTCAATGATTTATGATTAAGAAAAAAGTAATTTTGAATAGTCAAAGATTTATTAAGAAAATTTTAGGATTTACAAGGTTAGTTACATACAATTGCATAAAGTTCTATTAGGTGAACCCAGTACGCTGGGCGTTGGACGTGCCCGGGGCGTAAGCCCCGATGGCCGAGGCGTAAGTCTCACAGAATTAAGCCCCACACATAAGCCCAGGAGCATTTTACGAGTGCTCCGCCCCGGGGCGAGTCCCAATTCTGTCTTTTAAAACAAAGGTCACTCATAATTAATTCAATTTACTTTATATGCATAGTGAGACATTTTATCCGATCTTATTACTATTTAAATAATTAAAAGTAATTTTTTCAAATTATCTTATCTAACAAAAGTTATGATTTTTACCCTTTTAAAAGAAATTAAATTTACAACTTTATTTTCTAAAAATTTAAAACTCAATATCCATATGCATATCGAAGGTTGGTGACTGACATATTTTGTTCTTTTTGAGACAGAAAAAGTAAGGGGTTGTGACAAGTTATACTGAAATTAGTTATATTGAGATTAGTTATTTTGGTATTATTTTTTATTAATTGTTTGATATGTTGTATTAATTCTAGGATTGTCAATTTTACTGCTTTGTCGGGGGAGAACTCATCATGGGATTATTATTCTATCATCTAACAGGCATAAATTACATCAGTACTATTTTTAAACCTAGGATAAATTACCTAAGATTAATAATTAAATAAGGGATAAGTCGATACTAAATTTCTATCCCAAAATTATTTTTGCTTGTCTATCGTACTAAACGACCCTCATAGAGTTTGCTTGCTAACAATTAGTTCTAAGATATTGTAAAGCAACAAAGAACAAACGTTTCTCTTAAGCACATAAAGATTTCACTTTGAATTACCTTTTATAACAAAATTAAAAATGTTTGGCCAACATTTCTTCCAAATTAGAGTCGCCAAAAGCGTAATTATGTAAAAGTTGCAAGTTCAGCTTAAAGTTCACCTATATCAATTATCAAGTGTAATCCGTTAACAAATCATACCAGGTCACTATTAAAAAAAAGACAGAGCACACCGACAAGTTCGTCCCTTCTAACATCTGTCATGTACTATATTGGAATAAAAAAATAATTAGTGGGACTATTCTCTTCATTACTATTTTTAACTGAAAAGTCAAATGAAAATAATGAGTACCTTTTTCTGAAAGTTAAAAAAAAAAAGGACAGTATTTCAAGAATTTATCTATTCGAGGTTTGCGTAATACTAATATGAATATTATTACTTCTAGTCCTTGTTCTGTTCTTTTAAAGATTTTTACACAACTTTCAAGAAAAAAATATTTAACAACTATAACCATAAAATATTTATTTAAAATACAAAGTAGGAGTATCACTCTTTAAATCTTTACTAAATTAACACTCTACTGATTAAAAATAATTTTGAAAAAAGGAATCTAATAAGTACCTCCAATTTTTCTAAAATGAAAGTATTAATAAAATACTAATATCTGAAATCTCCAGAGTAATTAATCGTGATGCTAAAATAATTGGCTACTCTCTCCGGTCCACAATAAGTGTCCAATTTACTTTTAGCACACCCATTAAGAAAATACTAAATCCTATACAAAATTATCTAGTATGACTAAACTACCCTTATTAAATATTGGGCACATGATGAGAGAGAATTTTTTAGGGATATGCACATAAGGGTAAAAGAGTAAAAACAAATTGAATTTTTTCTTGATTACCTAACTAGACACTTATTTTGGACCAAAATCAAAAAGTAAATTACACACTTATTGTGGACCGGAGGGAGTATAAAAATATGATAACAAAAGACAGTAATTATAAATACGTGTCATTATTGACTCAGTACTTGAGCCACCGACACAGGGTGACTTGCTTAAATAAAACAAATAGTACTACGTTGAAAAAGGTAAATCCAAATTGCCCTTTTGGAACTATTTTTTGTTTATTTAAATCGATGTCTATTTGGTAATTACCACATAAAATCTCCTTAAAGTTTCTCCTAATTACAAGTCTTCCTTATTATCCAAACTACATAACCATACTGCTAAGTAGACGTTTGGACATTAAAAAAAAATGAGATTAGAAAAAAACTTAGATTTTGAAGTTAAGCTGAAAAAAAGTTTGAAAATTAAAATTGTGTT